ACCTAGGGGAGGCCCAGGTCCGGTTCAGATAATCGTCACCTGATGTTAGCCGTGAGCGGGAATCGAACCCGGGTCTCCAGGTTCATAGCGCAGCGCCCTAACCGCTACACTACCGCATGTACACACGCACACACGATTAGCTGAACCGGTCCTGCACCTCCCCCCTAGATCGACTGAGGCCTCAAATGAGCATCTAGTGCGGTGTATAAACATCGCCACTGGGGAGACAAAGGCGACCGGCGTGATGCTGGCCAACCACCCCCCCCCCCCCATTAGGTGCTCGCGAACAGCACTTGCCCTAAGAGTCGGTTAAGGCTATACGGATTGGGGGGGGGGGCAAATCCGTCCGTGTTGAGTTTACACGAGTCTGTGTACACGTGTTCGGGTTTGTGCACGAGTGTAGCTATGTTTAGTCAGTCAACTAGAGAGTACAAAAAAAAATCGATTAAACCGTGGAATCCTTCGATATAAAAGGCATTATTATATACTGTACGAGCCTTGTTTCTAAAAGGAGAGCCTCAGTCTCAAGACGCTTTTCCTAAAGTTAAACTAAACATTTTTTGTTACATTACCAGGCAAGGCCCACAGATCTATGCAACTCTTTTTCAAAAGCGACAAATGACAGCACTACCAAGTGGTTTATGACCACGTGGGACATTTATAACAACACAACTTTTAAAACGCATGTTGATTCTAAATGGAGGGAAAAACTGGAGGACCCGGAGAAAAATCCATGATACTACAGGGAGAGACATGAAAACTCGCAATATACAGGCGTCAGGATTGGGATCGAACCCAGGACCTCCTGTGTACCAGGAGAGGTAGTTAACATCTCTACACATCTTGCCGTGGAGAGGCACGAGCGCCAACACAAATATAGAATTGGTTAAAATAATTAATATCCGCGCAGAAGGCTCAACTCGTGTTTTAGGACATGTAATCATGAGAGTGCGATTATAATAGACTCCCATTAGCATGTGGGGGTTACGCGAGTGTTTACCAGCGTGCACGCGTGCTAACGTGTGCAGTCACGTCCTGTGGTGCGAGCTAAAGCATGGCTAATCTATATATATAAAATCGTGAATCTGTCTGTCTGTCTGTGTGTCTGTGTGTCTCCGAACATACGCACTTCATTGGACGGCGGTTGCCCCTGCCAACCGCTAGCCACGCCTTCGCCACTTTCATAAGCTCCGTAATTAATTAAATAATAGCCATTACACAGTATTGTTGGCGCGCTAGGGGGGGGGGGGGGGAAGGAACGCCACCCGTACCCTGCCTCTTCCAAGTCGACAATTTTAGGCGAGGCCGCAGGCTTTGCACGCTACTAGGCCCCGACACCCACCACGCCACTCTGAGGTAAATTCATCAAAGTTTTTCCTACACTTCACTACACCCCCACCACAATGTGTGCTATTAATATTACTTTTAAACCCAACGCGCCAACAATCGATTACTTTAATGTTCACTGTACAAATACTCATTAAGCTGGGTGAGTGTACTGACAGTCTATTATGTACACTGTAGCCTGCTTATTAAACTCTGTCAGCGTACTGCCACTCTATCATGTAGACTCTAGCCTGCTTATGAAGCTGAGTGGGTGTACTGGCAGTCTATAATGTAGACTGTAGCCTGGTTATTATAATCGATTCTTTCAATGTTCTTTGTACAAATAGTCATTAAGCTGCTTTAGCGTACTGCCCGTCTATTATGTAGACTGCTGCCTGCTTATTCAGCTGACTGGGTGTACTGCCAGTCTATCATGTACACATTAGCCTGGTTAGGAAGTAAAGTTAGTCAATTTGTAACACGTACGCTTTCGCAAAACATTATTCATAAACAACGTTATTGCGTTTAGATTGCCTTATTTATTAAGGTGTTGTCACCCTTATCCACCACCCGACACGCCCAATCTCCACAAAATTGTCACGTTCATAAAAGACTAAGACTTGACTGCTTTAGCCCACCGGTGTGTTCAAGCAGAAAACCACAACAATTGCCATTTCTCATGAAAAAACTACTGTATAATTATGTTTAAAAACCACACGCGCCAATAATGGATTTGTTTAAATGTTCACTCAAATACTCATTAAGCTGGCTGAGCGTACTGCCACTCTAGAATGTACAGTGTAGCCTGGTTATATTTCTGGGTGGCTCTACTGACAGTCTATCATGTACACATTAGCCTGCTTCTTAAGTAAAGTGAGTCTTTTTGTAACACGTACGCTTCGCAACCATTCTTCAAAAATAACTGTATTGCCTTTCGCCTCGCCTTAATTAATGTGTTGTAACCCTCCACCACCCCACACGGCCAATCAGTCAAAAGTGTCCCGTTGATAAAACACTCATAAGTCTCTGCTTTGGCCCACCGGTGTGTACAAGCATAAAACCACAACAATTCCCATTTCAGAGTACGTCCTTTCGCTGATGCTGGATGCAATTACCAGCCAAACGTCGTACTGTTCAGTTGTCTGTCCATCTGTGTACGATCGCTTGCGAGGGATTTGCCGGGAGGCACGTCCCGTGCCCCGCGATGGGAATACGCATGTCACTGTGTATGTGTTTGTGTGTATGTATGTGTGTGTGTATGTGTGTGTCTGCGTGTATGTATGTGTGTTTATGTGTGTGTCTGCAGCAAGCGCGTGTATGTGTACCTATGGACGCGCGCGCGTGTGTTGTGTAGGGGGAACGGTAGTGTAGTGGTTAGCGTGCTGTCTGTGTGTCTGTGTCTGCGTGTGTCTGTGCGTGTGTGCTGTGTGAGGAGCGGTGGGTGTAGTGCTTAACGCTACGCTGCGCTACCAACCCGGCGAACCCAGTTTCGATTCCCGCTCACGGCCACCACCGGTACGATTATTTGAACCTCCCCTAGGTCGACTCTGCCTCAAACGAGTAACTGCTGTGGCGTATTAACATCGCCACTGGGGAGACAAAGGCGGCCGGCCGTGGTGGATACAAGTCCCGGGCGAAGCCGGGTAGTACAGCTAGTGTTTGTGTAAAAAGAACAGGACCCTGCGGGGTGGGCTGGTAGGAATAATACTTAGTACTGGTACAGAGATAGATCGGGTATAGAGGAGTTAAAGAAAAAATTACTGTATTCTAGTGTAACGTTAATTAAAAGTGTTTGTTTTGACAAGAAACGCTGTTAGATTTAAAGACTCGTAGTCTTTCATTTCCAACACCACCCTCAACACCACCCCTCCCACGGACGGACGGACACATTAATCTATTGGTGGTCTGGTCCACTTCGTTCCTACCAGTATAAACCACTCATTATAGTGCGCGCGTCTCGTTAAAATGTAACTCTTACACGCGGCTACTCGCGTTAATGTTAAAAGTGCAATTTATTTTTTATAAACAAATTAAAATAAACGCTTAATATACCTTGCCACGCAAAGGCCTAAGGCTGTATACGAGGCGCTGAATGACTAGGCCTCAGTAACTTTAAAGTGACTAATACAGTTTATAAACTACTGATTATAGCGAGCGCCTGTCGTTAAATGTAACTCTTACACGCGGCTACTCGCGTTAATGTTAAAAGTGCAATTTATTTTTTATGAACAAATTAAAACTAACGCTTAACATACCTTGCCACGCAAAGGCCTAAGGCTGTATACGAGGCGCTAACGGACTAGGCCTCAGTAACTTAAAAGTGACTAATACAGTTTATAAACTAATGATTATAGCGCGCGCCTGTCGTTAAAATGTAACTCTTACACGCGGCTACTCGCGTTAATGTTAAAAGTGCAATTTATTTTTTATAAACATATTAAAATAAACGCTTAATATACCTTGCCACGCAAAAGCCTAAGGCTGTATACGAGGCGCTAACGGACTAGGCCTCAGTAACATAGTTGCGCGCGTCTCGTTAAAATGTAACTCTTACACGCGGCTACTCACGTTAATGTTAACGAAACGCGCGCACTTTATTTAATTTCAAGGTTTTAATCAAAAGCTATCTCAGGGAATAAGGGAATGTTACACGTGTCATGCCAAGTGTTTGCAGTAGGGGGCGATGTTGCTACCAGGATAGCGTCACTGAGTCTAAAGGTTTTTGTAGGGTCATGCCAAGTGTTTGCAGTAGGGGGCGATGTTGATACACGGAGGGACGGACGGACAGTCGGACGGACGGACGGACACATTAATCTATTGGTGGTCTGGTCCACTTCGTTCCTACCAGTATAAAGATTCCCGTACAGCCCAAACAGACTGTTAGGGCAAGTGCACATATGAAGACCGGCACGGCACACGAGTCGGAGGGTGGCCAGCACCACGGCCGGTCGCCTTCGTCTCCCTACGCACCGCACCAAGGACTCATTTGGAAGGCAGAGTTGACCTCGGGGCTGGTTCAGATAATCGTCACCCGGTGTTGGCCATGGCCGGGAATCGAACTGGGGTCGCCGGGTTTCGTAGTGCTCGCCGCTACACTCCCATGTGCGCGCACACACAAAACACACGTGTCTGCGTGTACACACCTAGCACCCACCCAGCCAACCAATACCCCCCCCCCCAGCTCCACTTTCCAAATCTCCCAGCAACCACATTAAATCCGCCCCTTGACAAGCTCCAGGCTCGGCTGCAGTACACACAGGACCCTGCACCCCCAACCACACCACCACACCTGTAATAAGTATAACCCGTAAAACAAAGTTTTTCACTATAAATCCTTTATATGCGTGGCGGCTAGAGTCCTCTCGTCCTCTGGCTTGAGATGGCTGCCACCTATGGGTCAGATGATTGCATTGCACCATTAAGCAATTGGTAATTAAATATATTGGTCCTAAAAAGTGTAAAATGTAGGAAAATTTTTCACGAACATTAATTGTCACGCACAACGAGTCTGTGTGCAAAATGTCAGCTCGATTGGATCACAGGAAGTGGGTTCAAAAACGACCAAAAGATTTGCACGGTCGTAAGCAAGCAAGCGAACTTAATATAAAGGATTTAAAAATCCGCGTTTGCTACGGGGGGGGGGGGGTAAGGGGTAGTGGGCTCCCGCATCTCACCTGAGGGGTGCGCGCTGGGCAGGGGCTTCTGTTGCAGGTGGGGGGCCGCCATGTACTTGTGTGGGGGGTAGAGAAGATGAGAAGGGGGCCAGCAGCGGGGCCGGGATGACAGGATACCCGGCCCCCCGCACTCAGCGGCGGGGGAGGCGCCGAGCCGGGCGTGGAGAAATCCTGGGGGTCCATGCTCCAGGATTCTGGAGTCTTAGGACAGGAGTCTGGAGTGTGGTGAGCTTGGAGCCACAATTCCAAAGCTTGGAGCCTCAGGGCCTGGAGCACGCCGCATGGAGGATTATTGGCTTGTGGAGCCTGGAGTCTTGGTTGCTGGGCCTTTAGTAGCCTCAAGCGTCGGTGCCTGGAACCTGGAGTTATTGATCCTCGGGTGTTGGGAGTCGGAATCCCGGAGCCTGGATTTTGGATCCGGGAGACTTTGGAGTCTGGATTGCCGATAGAGCTTGGAGTGCGAGGACCTCGCTCCCACCGTGGGGGGCTCTCACCCTGGGCACGTCATGCGATGGAGGCACAGACAAGCGCCCAAAGGCCCCCCACCTGAAAGTGGGAAAGTGAATGGGAGTGCTGGGTTAGGATCACCCGGCTGGACTCGCATACACCTGTACCACACATACACCTATAGCAAACACACGCACTCACCTGCACCAAACCCTGCCACACACACACACGTACCAAACCCTACCCACACACGCGCACCTGTACCACATACACACACCTGTACAACGCTACTACACAATATCAAAAGCTACTACTACATACACCTGTAACAATGACTCTTTACACACGAACAGACAAAAATCCCCTATATAACTTTTAACAGACTGTTCGGGCTAGTATTGTCAGCGAGCACCTATTTAGGTCGGCATGGCACACGAGGCGGTGGGTGACCAGCATCACTTCCGACCGCCTTTGTCTCCCAAGTGTTGATGTTTACATACTGCACCAGGCACTCATCTAATGCCGAATCGACCCAAGGGGAGGGCCAGAGGGAGGGATGGAGTTGGCTGGGCGAGCATAGGCGAGGCGAGCAAAATGACAACGGAGTAAGGAAGTAGAGGGAGAGGCGGGGAGTTGCAAGGGAAGCAGAGATGTGCAGAAGAGGGGGCAGAGAGATGACGGGAGAAGCAGACGAGCAGGAGGTGTGGAAGGGAGCAATACGAATCGGGGAGGTGCAGGGACGATTTGGGAGGTACAGACGCATGGGGGTGGGGGGGGGGGTTGCAAAGCGGAGCAACGATATGCAGAGGTAGCAAGCACACTGCGCTGCAGCCTGTTCGAGTACTGTACTGAACTGCACTTACCACGTGGGCTCGCCCAGAGAGGCGGGGTGGTAGGGGAGTCGGTGATGGAAGGAGGGCGAAGAGGGGGGGGGGGGCTTTTTGAGGATGGGGGTGATGGGGGAGGGGATGATGATGATGGGGGAGTGAGTAAATGATGATGATGGTGGGGGGTGGGGTGGATGATTGGTTGTTGATGATATGGGTGATTGGGGAGGGGTTGATAATGTTGATGGTGCGGGGAGCGGATGGCGATGATGAGAGGCGTGGTTCAAGACGATGTTGGGGGTGACGGAGGGTTAATGTTGATGACATCACCCTCCCCCATCACCTTACGTAAGTATCTGGGCTAAACTCACTGATGATTCCCAAGTTAAGCGAGATCAGTCAGTCTCGATGTCGCATTGCAATTCAATTATAGCCACTGCTGGATGAAAGCCTCCCCATGCCGCGTTGACCACGTGGGTAGATTGACCATACATCACCGCACGAGTCAGTGCGGGTCGGTGTTTGACGTGGCTTAGAATGTACCTCGGGGAGCTGGGGTTCGTAGTGCCCGATGCACCGTGCTCTCCCCCCCCCATCACACACCATCTCGCCGCACAGCCGCCCACTCACCCCTCCATACTTCACCTAAAATACCCTCCATCGCCCGCCCATAACCTTACATCACCTTGCTCCACATCACCTTTACCTCTCGCCCCATCACCCTCTCCCGTCACATGAAATCCCCCCCGCTCCCCATCACTCTCTCCCCATCATCCTTACATCCCCTCCCCCATCACCCCTCTCCCCAGCACCCTCCCCCCCATCACCCTCCCCCCCCCATCACCCTCTCCCCCATCACCCACTCCCTCATCACCCTCTCCCCCCATCACCGACCCCTCCCCCCCATCAAACACTCCCCCCCATCACCCTCTCCCCCATCACCCTCTCCCCCATCCCCTCCCCCCCCATCACACTCTCCCCCTCACCCTTTCCCCATCATCCTTACTCCCCCCCCCCCATCACCCTCTCCCCCCATCACCTCCCCCCATCACCCTCCCCCCCATCACACCCCCCATCACCTCCCCCCATCACCCTCTCCCCCATCACCCCTCTCCCTCATCACCCTCTCCCCCATCACCCTCTCCCCCATCACCCTCCCCCCATCACCCTCCCCCCCATCACCCTCCCCCCATCCCCCCCCCCCCCATCACCCTCTCCCCCATCACCCTCCCCCCCATCACACTCCCCCCCATCACCCTCGTCCCCCATCACCCTCTCCCCCATCACCCTCATCCCCCATCACCCTCCCCCCCCATCCCCTCCCCCCCCATCACCCTCCCCCCCCATCACCCTCTCCCCCATCATCCTCTCCCCCATCACCCTCCCCCCCCATCACCCTCTCCCCCATCACCCTCTCCCCCATCACCCTCTCCCCATCACCCTCCCCCCCCATCACCCCTCCCCCCCATCACCCTCCCCCCCATCACCCTCCCCCCCCATCACACTCCTCCCCCATCACCCTCTCCCCCATCATCCTTACATCCCCCCCCCATCACCCTCTCCCCCATCACCCTCCCCCCCATCACCCTCCCCCCATCACCCCCCCCCCCCATCACCCTCTCCCCCATCACCCTCCCCCCCATCACACTCCCCCCCATCACCCTCTCCCCCATCACCCTCTCCCCCATCATCCTTACATCCCCCCCCCCATCACCCTCTCCCCCATCACCCTCCCCCCCATCACCCTCCCCCCCATCACCCTCCCCCCCCATCACCCTCTCCCCCATTACCCCTCCCCCCATCACCCTCCCCCCCCATCACCCTCCCCCCCATCACCCTCCCCCCCCATCACCCTCTCCCCCATCACCCTCTCCCCCATCACCCTCCCCCCCATCACACTCCCCCCCATCACACTCTCCCCCATCACCCTCTCCCCCATCATCCTACATCCCCCCCCCCATCACCCTCTCCCCCATCACCCTCCCCCCCATCACCCTCCCCCCCCATCACCCTCCCCCCCATCACACTCCCCCCCCATCACCCCTCTCCCCCATCACCCTCTCCCCCATCATCCTTACATCCCCCCCCCATCACCCTCTCCCCCATCACCTCCCCCCCATCACCCTCCCCCCCATCACCCTCCCCCCCCATCACCCTCTCCCCCATCACCCTCCCCCCCATCACCCTCCCCCCCCATCACCCTCCCCCCACCATCACCCTCCCCCCCCATCACCCTCTCCCCCATCACCCTCTCCCCCATCACCCTCCCCCCCATCCACTCCCCCCCATCACCCTCTCCCCCATCACCCTCTCCCCCATCACCCTCTCCCCCATCACCCTCCCCCCCATCACCCTCCCCCCCCATCACCCTCTCCCCCATCATCCTTACATCATCCTCTCCGCCATCATCCTTACATCCCCCCCCCCCATCACCCTCTCCCCCATCACCCTCCCCCCAATCACCCTCCCCCCCATCACCCTCCCCCCCATCACCCTCTCCCCCATCATCCTTACATCCCCCCATCACCCTCTCCCCCCATCACCTCAGATCACCCTCGCCCCATCACCCCTGCTCCCCAAACGCGCTGAAGTCATCCGGCGATGACTCACGCACAGGCCACGAAGACATCTGCGCAGCGGTGTTTGTGTCTGGGGAGCGGTGGCGCAGTGATTAGCTCGCTGCGATACACACACGACTTCCATTCCCGGCTATGTCTCACGTCAGTGGCGAGTGAGATCTCACCACATCATCATCATCACTCTACCATCGCCATCACTACCGTCATTCACTCCCATCATCATCACTCACGACTATCATCATCACCTACTACCATCACCATCATCACTACCATCACCACTCATTTGATAATCACTCCACTACCACCATGATCATTCACTAATATGATCACCAACAAACATCATCACTCACTACCATCATCATCACTCTACCATCACCAATACTAACATCATTACGACCATGATCTTCATCGCTACCATATAAACACAAACATCAACACCACCACTATAAAAACCATCAACATCATGAATACCATCATCACTACCATAATCAACACTTCCATCACCACTACTACCATCATCATCAAGATGCATACCGTTATTGTAAACGATGGCTGTGATGATGATGATGGCAAATTTAGGAGCACAGTGTCTGCAACATCACCACAAACATCACGGAAACATCAATCCCACACAACCATGGCATGACGATCACATCGCAACGTAAACACAAACGATACACCCATCACAGAGTGAGTAAACATCAATTGCACAACACAACCGTAAACACAGACGTTACATCAAAACATAACACCAACAACCGCCATTCGCCAATAAGTGGCGGTGACGTCACCACGGCGCTTGTGCCAGGCTATGTGCACGTTAAGGTCACGTGAAGTGTTGTCGAACGCCCGCTGGCAGGAGGTCGTCGGACAGACCCAGGTGCCTATGGGTCGACTGACTGAGACGACTGGCCGATGCACCACCTGTGTCCCCTACTGTGCAAACTTGCTATGCTTTAGCCACCATGCGCGTCGCTCGTTGTTGTGAGCGTCGCTCCTCTGCCCTCCGTTGTTGTTGGATGGCTACTGCCTTCCAACTGCCTAGGAGCAGCAGCGTTCTTCACGAGCCTCCGCCACGTAAACACCACCATCAACAGCGCCATAAACATCACAAACTGCGTGTCCCCGAATAAAACTCGGACAATTCACGGGGGGGCGGGTCGGGTGCTCCCCCCCCCCGGGTATATCCGTCGCCTTGACAAAAACCCGTTACATTATTTCCACAAACATTAAATGCATCACGTTTACAGCTTGTTGTCATTTTATTTATACCGACTTACATACCGGTGAGAAAAAAAAAAAACATTTATAACGCAATTTAAAAATAATGTTTTTTTTCTTTTAATTATAATTCGCAACTTGAACCACCAACAATCGCTATCCGATTCCGAGACGCGCGACCTGACGATGCCACTGTTTCATAACCACAGAGCTTGCACTGGGTCGGCAATGCTATCTCTCTCTGTGTCTCTGAGCGCTGTCCAGGTTTTGATATCTGGGAGCGCGACTTTTTAATGTTTTCCATTTTTTTGGGAGGTCCCCAACTCCCCATAGCGACCCCCACACACCCTCCCTCATTATATGCGGGGCACGTTAATTCGAGGATATACTGGCAACACAAATGTCAGTCACATGAACACACACACACCTACCGACACGTACACAGATAGACACACCTAATACGCACACAAAC